TGAACTGTGATGGCATTGAGATGGGCTCCCCATCCTAACAGGGATACATTGGTTGTTTAAGTCTCTGATGGGTGAGGCAACAGAAAAGTATGCCCACACAGACACTGATTTGCACCAGCTTAGGGAGGGTTTTAAAAAAAAAAAAAAAAAAAAAAAAAAAACTTGCAGGGGAACCATCACAGCCTGTCCAGGGTATCCCTGACTAGGGAGTAGGTTGATCAGAGCCAACCTTGGAAGCATAAAAAATGCAGCCTTGTGTAATCCATCACAAAGGTGCAAGCTGCCATGTCCTAAAGTGCCCAAACAACGGAGGGTCCGGCTGTCAATGAGTCCGAATATGCCCCATACAAACTGCATCCTTTGTACAGATGTCAATGTGGATTTTTCACATTCATCTGCAGGCCCAATTCCTGGAACAGAACAAGGGCCATGTGGATGGATAACACTACTTTTGTAGGAGAGACCTTTGAGCAGCCAGTTGTCGAGGTACAGAAAGACTAGGATCACTTCCTGCTGAAGGTAAGCTGCCATTACTGCCAATACCTTTGAGAACACCCTTGGGGATGATGACAGGCCAAAGGGAAGCACCCGCTAGTGGAAATGATTGTGGCCAATGGTGAAGTGTAGGTATTTCCTGTGTGATGTGTGTATCGATATATGAAAAATAGGAATCTTGTAGGTAGAGGGCCAAAAACTAATCTCCTTCCTCCAGTAAGGGACTTACTGTTGCCATAGTCATCATCCTAGGCTTTTGAGGGTTCACGTCCTTGCTTAAGTATCTTAGATCTAAGATAGAAGGACAGAGGATGTAAGACTTTGACACCAGGAAACAGTTTGAGTAAAACCTCTTGCACCCATGTGAGGGGAAGGGACTGTTTCTATTGCTCCTAGCTGGAGGAGAGAGAGTCCAACTGTTGTCTTAACATAAGCTTTTGAAAAGGGTCCCTGAAGAGGGACAGGGAATGGAGGTGGAAGGGAGGGAGCAATGTAAAATGAATGGTATAGCCTGATGTTATGACCTCCATGACCCACTTGTCCCCAAGCTTGCTGAAAACAGAAAGGGTGGTCCACAAAGGGGGAGTTGGGTCAATGGGTGCAACTATAACTCCAGAGGTATGGGAGGATTCAAACTCTTGACCAACCTATCAAAACTGCTGCTTGGATGAGGCCTGCGTGGCCGAGGAGGGTGGTTGAGCAGCTCTTTTTCTCTGGAATCTGTCTCTCTGGCAGGTTCAGAGGTTCTATGGAATCCAGAAAACTGAGCAGAACGTGACCTCTGGGCAGTCTGTGATCTATTAAAACTCTTATTTGTAGGTATATATATACTCAGGAATTGTAAAGTAGCTCTCGAGTCCTTCAGTATGTGCAGGGACACTTCATGGTTTCCTAAAAGAGTTTATGACTGTCAAAGAGGAGGTCCCCCACAGTGTTCTGTGCCTCTTTCGGAAACCCTGAGAGCTGGAGTCATGATGCCCCATGCCTATCATTGTGGAGATGGATCTGGCAGCAGTGTCCGCAGCATTTAAGGATGCTTGAAGAGCAGTTCTGGCTATTAATTGGCCCTCAGAGACCACAGACTGGAACTGCTGCAATTGACACACTGCTGGAACTTGTGGCAATTGTTCAATAAAGGTCACAGGCCTGTTATAATTGGTGAGGTTGTATTTAGCCATGATCGCCTGCTAATTTGCAATCAAAAATTGCAGGGTTGCTGATGAATAGGACTTCCGCCCATAGGAGATCCAGCCTTTTCTAGTCCTTATGGTAAGGGATAAACCTAGAAAAATGCTGTCTACCCCATTCACTTACTGCATGCACCACCAATGAGTTAGGTAGGAGATAGGAAAACAAAGAGTCAGAATCTTTAGGGGGGAACATTGTACTTTTTATTCGCCCTTTTACAAGGGGGGGAGGGGCAGAATAGTGGCAGGTGTTTGCCACACCATTTTAGCCTCACTGATAGGTAGCACCACTTTGGAGAGTGTTGCTGACTGCAAGATATCCAGCACTTTGTATTGTGGAACCTTGACCTTTTCGAAGGGATCTGAAGAGTGGCAGCTGTCCTAATGAGGTCTTGAAATTGTCTGAAGTTGTCAGCAATGGAAGGTAATGGAGGCATAACCGCCTCGTCCGCCAACAAAGACGACTTGGAGTTTCATCCGCCTAGCCTCCTGCTCCTCAACTGTCTCCTGTGAGGAGGCTGGTTGGCGAGGTGAAGGTTGCATAACCCTGGTCTCCCTGTAAGACAATACCAGTGGTTTGGTAAATTGCTGTCAATTTACAGCAAGTAGAGGTGGCATACAGCATTGGCTCCACCACCCTTGGTGACCAGTATAATGCTCCCTGTTGACAAGCTGAAAAGGTATTCCTGAAGGGATATGTTGGGGAACCCCACCATTTAGAAGTTTCCTTCTTCACATCATCCTATGGTGGGAGGGCACCCATTGAAAATGGTGCAGAGTCCTGCAGTGCCGGAGGATAGTAGCCTGGACACAGGGTCTCAGTACTGAAAGTCACATTGTACCCATAAAAAAAGCAAAGACTCCAGTTCATCCGATACCAAAAAATCATTACACACACACACACACACACACACACACACACACACACACACACGGTAAACCTAGTACCTAGAGGCCATTGCTAGGTTGGTGTCCCATTGTGCTAGGAACTGTACCCTAAAAGGACAAACTCCTACTGCAAAACTCACAGATTTTTAACTCGACAATCAATTTTTTAAGACTCTGAACAGTAAATGCCACATTTTTTCCTTATATTTCACAAGTGCATTTATTCCTCTAAAACATATTAAAATAGAAAACATGTTCATCTGATCAATTATACAAAGTAAATACTAACATAGTATTAAAAATACTGAAAATATATGAAAGCACCAGAACATTAGAATATCTATATTGGCAAAGATTCTAAGAATATATTTCTTGCAATTTTACAATAAAGTGCTACTATATCCAGTCAAAATTAGTGATAAGCATTTTATAAACAGAGTTAGTAAAACTTGTCTCTAATTTACAAATTACTGTATGTTACCAGAACTCTAGATTATTTTTCCAGAGGATGTTCCATTAAATGCTTTGTTGACAGTGAAATATTTGGAATGTGAAGTACAGAAAAATAATTTAAACAATATGGCTAATGGTAACCTATGTTGGAATGTATTAAATATTATAGAAAATAAAAGAACAGCAGAAAGCAAGCTGAACAAAACCCAGAATAATGAAAAATGAAGAGAACATTGTGATAAAATTACATGAAGTATGAATTAATTCAGTATAGCTCACCAAGTACAAAGGTATTCCTGCAGAAGCTTTCCATTTATATAGTAAATTTTCAGTAACCTTATTGGACTGATATTCTGCTTCATCAGAATTAGTCTATTAGTTCACTACCTACAATTTTGTAGAATAAAATACTGATCAAATTTTTTTAAACAATTTTCTTTTACTTTATGTCAATGATGCCACACCTATAATCATTAAAGAGACACTGACACCCAGTTTGTCCTGTTTTTCCCCCTTAAATTTGTTTTTTTTTGGGGAGGGAAGAGTACATTCAAAATATAACATGACCTCTGCAATGATCTTTTCTAATCGATTAAAAAAAAATCAAAGTCATCGGCCCAGCACTAATGAAGAGACTTATCCGGACAAGCCAATTTGTGGTGAAAACAAGAACCAGATTTCAGTTTTAAGTTTCAAGCATTTATTATAAAAGGTCAGTAAAAAAAAAAAAAAAAAAAAAGGGGGGGGGGGGGGCTTAAAAATTTATGAAAGATACCATGTCTCCTTTTAGGCTTTTAATTTTTAGATCATTTCAATATAAATATTTACAGAAATGAGTACAAAGAATATTTGCTAGAATAAATTCTCACTCATTTTATATAGCATTCCGAAAATGCTTTCAAAGAAGCAGCAGATACTGTATTTTTCATAGTCCATCTAATATACCCAATCTTTTCCTGATCTGGCTTGTTTCTTCCAAATATTCCATGCATGATTGAATGATTGCACCTCTGTCAGAAATGTTTTTTACATTGATTTTTAACTTTTATATGAATCATGCAGTTGACTATTGCTGACCTACTTAACAGCATGTTGCTTTGGAGTTTGTATAAAGAGTTCCTTCCACAACAATGTGAAATTAGTAAACATTAAAGTAAGAAAAATTAATAAACAAAATATCTATAATTAATTAGGACAGCGTCTCAACAAAAGTATTTTTATCAAATGTCTTCGGAATTATGGCAGGCATTTTTTCTGGGGAATACGGCTACAAACTGATATACTGTTTGGCATGAAATATTTATACAATAATTTTACATTCCAAAAAAAACAAAAATAAAGACTTAACCATGATAAGGATGCTGTTCTTGAATTTCAAAAGGAACGACCATCTAATTACTGTGTACTATAGGTTCAGGTCTCCCTATTTTCATACATACTATGTACATACACACATCATGTAAGAAAAATCTAACCTGTACTATGTAACAATTTTAATTCTGTAAAAAAAAAAGGGGGGGGGGAAAAAAGGTTGTTTTTTTTAAATAAATTTAAGCAGCCTGCTTGCACCTTTTAGTATATCCTGTATGCATGAGCATGAATGAAACTAAAAAGGTGACATTTAAAGTAGTTCAACCAAAAAGAGAAAAATAATATATTCTATGTAGTTTTAAGTTACGGTATATTGTTACATTTACTCATCTCTTCTGTTTGGTAATATTCAATAACTTGTCCAGTGAACATAGCTCCTAGCTCTTCTAATATCCTCTTTTTCCTGTACTGTAAGTGTCAAGACAGTTTCAGTAAATTTCTGAGCTCTTGTTGGTCTTTCGTTTCTTCTTTTAACAGCAAATAGTATGACTCAACGTTGTACTTCACAGTACAGACCTCTCTCATTTTTGGTAGTTTCAGGGTTTAATGGAGCAGCATTGGATTCTCTCTCTTTTCAAACTGATTAACACAGCTGGCACGTGTAGTGCAAAGCATTGCTGTTTAGCATCTCTGAGTGTACAACAGGAAGAAGCAAAAGGCAGCAATAGCAACTAAGAACAATGCTAATACAACTATTAGCTGCTGGAACCAGACACAGCGATCAATCTGCTCTTGAAGTCTTCTATTAACCTGTAATAATTGAGTTAGCTGAAAAGAAAAACAGGTTATATGATATTAAACAGCTTTTTACTGAATGAACTCTCCTATCTCTAGTGATTTTAGCTGTAGGTAATTCTGAGAAGCACTTACAATACTAAATTAGCCAACAGTATATTTTATAAGATACACACAAAAAATCTTCAAGAATTCCTCTATCAGTGTGCTCCCATAATTTGGATCACATCTGTAGAAGATATTATTTCAGAGGTATAAGCAATTCTATCTTGATCTATAGACAGATAGACATATCTATGTATGTATATAAAAAAATGACACTTTTCTACTAATCGACAGATAGGGTCACTTAGCAATTCTACCACTTGAGGTATGTAAGGGTATGTCTACACTACCCGCCGGATCGGTGGGTAGCGATAAATCGATCCCCGATCGCTCTTCCGTCGACTCCGGAACTCCACCATGGCAAGAGGCAGAAGCAAAGTCGACGGGGGAGCGGTGGCCATCAATCCCGCGCCACGAGGACGTGAATTAAGTGATTCTAAGTCGATCTAAGATATGTTGACTTCAGCTACGTTATTCTCGTAGCTGACGTTGCGTAACTTAGATTGATCTCCCCCCCAGTGTAGACCAGGCCTAATACATATAAAAGGAATGAGAGTAGTGTGTTGGAAGTGGAAAATGTAGCAGAGTTCATATCAAGAATAATTAAAATAATTATGCCACTGTATTTGGTTTACAGTTACTCTGAAGCATTCAATTCCTCCATTGAAAATATTTTCAGTTTTGAACTTGTTTTGTACTATTTCATTAAATCTTCTACTGCCATTTATAACGGCAAGCTATTAATCTATAATTCTGTTCAATGACCATTTTGTATGAAAGAATACTCTCTTACCTGTAAGTGTAAATCTTCATTGGTTTTTGTAGGAATATTAAATGAATTCTCTTTTAATGTCAGAGTAGAAGGCTTGCTACTTTCTACAACATGACATCTTAACCTGTGAAAATTTAAATGCACTTTATCAATATTATTATAAAGTCTGTTGTTTTAACTAAAACAAAAAAAAACATTTAAAGGACAAAAATCCTAAAACACACTATTCATAACATATTACAGTTCAATTATTTTACCACTGAATGGTTCAACACAACATTCTTATCAAAGATATGATTCTGACCCCAATGAAATAGACAGGAGATGGATCATGCCCAAAATACCATGGTTACATTGTGACAGCTTTTGAAGTATGAAGGCACAACAGGAACAGAATAATCCCTTACAACAGTGATTCTCAACCTATTTACCATTGTTGGGTTGGCCACATTTGCAGCTCTTTATGTGTTATTTGGACTGCAGCCACGTGTGTGTGTGTGTAGATATATATATATATATATCTACACACACACACACACACACACACACACACACTCACACTCTACAGGTGTGGCCCTGAGGCTGTCACATGGACCGCAGCTGTATGCTGATTGGGCCGCAAGTGGCCCACAGGCCGCAGGTTGAGAACCACTGCCTCAGAATATATCACTTACCTTTATGCTTTTAATCTTACTATTACATACACTATATAACTGATTATAACCCAAGATTCAATACCAAAGAAATGTTGTTTCATTTATGTTAAGTATAAAATATTCAGAGAAAGCAGAAACAGAATTTCAAAGCATGCCTAAATATACTTAGTTACCAGCTTCAAGACATCATTTACAATAACAAGATTAGAAAAAAGTTACTTGAGAAAAAATAACCAGTGCATGCATTTGATGTCACACATGATATTGAAAATTAAAGCATTTTATAAAAACACAGCAGGAACCAATTTGGAAACATTTAAGCCCATTAGAGAAGAGATGGATGCATTTATTTTCTGGGGGGCGGGGAGACGAGCTTATCATGAGACTTTCAGTCTTCTTATGTGAGAAGAATAGAAATACTAAAACTTTTGAGAGACGAATAAAGCAGAATAAAAAGGACAGAATGCTTTGGAATAACTTGTTTTTGAAAAAACAAAATGCTAACTGGCTTCCTCTGGGAGAGGACTTAGCAAGATGGAGCTATTCATCTGCGTCTATAAATATTCAAACAAGAATGCATGACTTTAGGTGGGCAATAATGACATGCTCTACTGCACTTGATATAGGTTTCCTTGAAAACGAAAAGGTCAGCACTGTATAAATCTACATGCCACATTCCACATTACTGGATCAAGCACATTTCAGAACATCTTGCTTCCTGGTGCATTCATTTGTATTGGTTTATTAGTCAAGTATCCCTTGAAGGCTGTTGTGGCAGCTTTAATAAAGTCAAGCAATTTCTCACTATTGCTCAATGGCCTACCCTAACAAAATACCAGTGTCTACGCAAGAAAGCATTTATTTACATTTTACAAATTCAATGTGCAAATGCACACAGTTTACCTTTCCAGTATGTGTAAACAAAAATGATCTAAAAACTGTGTCATGTTTTCCTATATAGAACTTTATTCTTTTCTTTGGGGATTTTGGAAGAATCTACCCTTACACGATTTGTATTTTGAAAAAAAGCAGCTAAAATGTGAGAAATAATCCCACAATTCCTTGAAAAGTGACATTGCTTTTATACTTTCCAGAAAGAATAAGTTTATTGAATGACATAGCAACAGAAAATTTACCTAATGGTTGCATTTACAAACTGCTTAATTATCATAAGATATTCTCTTATGAGCATCTATGTATCATTTTGAATTACATGGTTAGGTTCAACATTCACATCTCAAACATATATGAGCTGGAAAACAGATTTAATTAAACACAAAGAAGCAATTTAGTAAAACATGAATTTCAGTAAAGAGGGGGGAAACATATAATGAAGAGAAATCTTAGTTTGTAATGCCCTAACAAACTTGCCAGTTTTATTGAACCCAAGTGTTTCCATCCTCCAGACTTTACTTTAATTGCTGTTAACTTTTTCCAACATTCACACTGTAGGATGAAATTTTCCAGCTCTGTTTTCTACTAGAGAATTAATGTTATGAGATATGCTTTGTGTTGTCCTGGTGAAAACTGATTTGGATTTAGCTAAATTCTGAAAGTTCTAAGTGAAAGTGTATGTTATGTTATGCATAACATATTTTTTCAAAAATATGTAGAAGAGCAGTTGTTAGTAAGGGTAATTAAGGTGTGCATGAAATAAAGTGGAGTTCTGGAGAAGCTTTGCATCATGGATTAAGATATACGCTCAGTAAAGCGGGTCTGGTGGCTCTGCAGGAGACATTTCTACCAGTGCATGTCTGATGGGGGAAAGAGCATTCTAGCGTTGGCTAGAAAATTTCTATATTACCTAATTCTTCTTTCTAACTATTTGCTCTTTAGAAAACACCTAAGAAATTATACCACCCTGCCCTCCCTCAAAAAAAAACAAAAAAACCCCAAAACCCACTATCAAGAGAATGTTGAACTGCAGTTCTAATCTAAAAAGTGATTTTATAAAAATAGCACTTTCTTACTCAGCATATCTACTCTGTCTATGCAGTAACATCTGTTCACTTTTGTTACAAAAATAATTTTTCCTACTGCTGCTTACTCATGTTAACACTTAACAGTGTGAGAGTTCATTTCTACTACAGCTTATGCATCAATAACAAACTAAGTCCCAATCAATTTTACCTTTAAAACCCACTGCAGGCAATGGGGATGAACAGGGGTCACCAAGAGCATAATTCAACTTGTAGAATCCTTAATACTGGTGATAATGCACAAATACGAGAAATTAGAATACAAAACCCAAATAAGAAAGCCTTTAAGCCAACTATATGCTTACCTATGTTCCATCACTTTGTTTCTAGGGACTTCTTTCCAAAACTGAGCTAATTCTGGTACGCCTGCTCCAGAAGCCTGATCCATTTCTGCTGCCATTATCAGGAAACGGTCCTGCAGGGAAGCGGCAAAACCTACCCTCAACCAAAAAATCCAAAACAATAAATTTAGCAGAGATTGTATGTATACACTAAAACACCACTTTTACCTCTCTAGGAAGGAAATTAAAAAGTAATGTTAGTTACTAAGGAAAATGTGAACTGTGCGGTTTAAGTAAATTTAACAGAACAACACAAATTCTAGAAAGAGGTGGTTACTCACCTGTAACTGGAAGTTCTTTGAGATGTGTGGTTCCTGTGTGTATGTCACACACGAGTGTGCATGCTCGCCACGCACCTGAATCCAGAAGTGTTTCTTAGCAGTGTCCATTGACCTGCATGTGCATAGGGAGTCTCCTAGTGGCTCCCAAGACGAGGGTATATGGAGTGCGGGTCGACGCCATTCCAGTTTCCCTCTTACCATTACAAAATCCAGTTCAAAGCAGAGGGGATGGAGGGCGGGTAGTGGACTACAGAGAGGGACCACACAACCCAAAGAACCTTCAGTTACAGATAAGTAACCTTCTCTTCTTTGAGTGATGGTCCTTAAGTGTATTCCACACATGGGTGTCTTGCGAGCAATGATCAACACGGAGGTGGGTGTGAGGATACTAATGGCACTGCGGTCTGTAGTATGGCATTGCCCACGGCCGTGTCTGTCACTGCCACTTGTGTTATGGTGTAGTGTGCTGTGAAAGTGTGGACAGAACCCCACATCACAGCTCGAGAGATGTCTTGCCAGGACACATCCGCCAGTGAGGCTGAGAAGGCGACTTGCGCCCATGTAGAATGAACCATGACCCTGCCTGGAGGAAATAGCTGGAGTGTTTGTAGCATTTGAGGATGCGCTCCAAGACCCATTTGGAGATGGGCTGGGATGAGAGGGCTTGTACCTTTGACCTTTTGGCAATGGCCACCAATAGTTTAAGTGATTTTTGAAATGGTCCAGTCCTGTGGAGGAAGGACACTAGCGTGCATCAGACATCAAGGGAGTGCAGGGCCCTGTCAGTGGGGAGGCGTGTGGCTTCGGGCAGAATACTGGCAAGTGGATGGACTGATTGAGGTGGAACTCAGATACCACTTTTAGAAGGAATTGGGGTGCAGCCATAAGGACATCTTGTCCTTGTGGAATATCGTGTGTGTGTGTGGGGGGGGGGGGGGCGGTGTCTGCAATCATGGCTGCAAGCTCACTGACTTGTCTGGTCAGGTTATGGCTACCAAGAATGCCACTTTCATTGAGAAGTGGGAGAAAGAGTATGTGGCCATTGGTTCAAAGGGTGGTCTTGTGAGGGCGAAGAGAATGAGATTAAGGGCACATGAGGGTGTGGGCTTCAACGCTAGTGGAAAGGTGCTGAATAATCCTTTCATGAAGTGGATAGTGATATGGTGCATAAACACAGAGGGATGAGTGGTGTTGCGCATGCCAGTGAATGTTCCAGATGTTTGGGTGTCCGGGTGACCGTCGGTACCATTGGATCCCGTTGGTGCCTGGCCTTGCCTTGCATATGGGGTATCCTGGGTGCTGATCCAGCCGGATCTACACGTGACATCTTCCCTGACTCGGCTTGAGTTGAAAACACTGAGCTTGGGAGCAGTCCTTTGCCGAGACCTGGCTCTTGTGCTTGTCAGAGCTTTTTGCCCTCATATCAGGATTTGTCCTTAGCCTATGGAGCTCCGAGGCAGGCATTGTGGCTGGAGGGGGCACTCACTGCCAGGCGGGGGGGGGGGGGGGGGGGGGGGGGGGGGGGGGGGGAGCCTCTTTGGCCAGGATCTCAGTGAGCCTGAGGCTGCATGGCCTCCTCCATAAGATATTCATAAGGTTCAGAAAAGGGCAACTAAAATGATTAAGGGTTTGGAACGGGTCCCATATGAGGAGAGATTAAAGAGGCTAGGACTCTTCAGCTTGGAAAAGAGGAGACTAAGGGGGGATATGATAGAGGTATATAAAATCATGAGTGATGTGGAGAAAGTGGATAAGGAAGTTATTTACTTATTCCCATAATACAAGAACTAGGGGTCATCAAATGAAATTAATAGGCAGCAGGTTTAAAACAAATAAAAGGAAGTTCTTCACGCAGCGCACAGTCAACTTGTGGAACTCCTTACCTGAGGAGGTTGTGAAGGCTAGGACTATAACAGAGTTTAAAAGAGAACTGGATAAATTCATGGTGGTTAAGTCCATTAATGGCTATTAGCCAGGACGGGTAAGGAATGGTGTCCCTAGCCTCTGTCTGTCAGAGGGTGGAGATAGATGGCAGGAGAGAGATCACTTGATCATTGTCTGTTAGGTTCACTCCCTCTGGGGCACCTGGCATTGGCCACTGTCGGTAGACAGGATACTGGGCTAGATGGACCTTTGGTCTGACCCGGTACGGCCTTTCTTATGGTCTTATATTTGCGGAGGCGGAGCTTGTGGGCTTCCTGGTCCTGGGCAGGAAGGACTTACAGAGGGCGCAGCGTGCCACGGTGTGTGCCTCATCCAGGCAGTAGAGACTTGACACTCACACAGATGGAGTGTGGGTAGGAGACACAGTTTTTGAAGCCTGTGATCCTGGGGATAGATAGTCCCCGAGGCAGGGTGGAGGGGGATGCGGTTCCCGAACAGGGAAGAGAACTACTATATTAACTACACTACATAAGAACATAAGAATGGCCATACTGGGTCAGACCAAAGGTCCATCTAGCTCAGTATCCAGCCTTCCGACAGTGGCCAATGCCAGGTGCCCCAGAGGGAATGAACAGAACAGGTAATCATCAAGTGATCCAACCTCTGTCGCCTATTCCCAGCTTCTGGCAAACAGGCTAGGGACTCCATCCCTGCCCATGCTGGCTAATAGCCATTGATGGACCTATCCTCCATAAATATATCTAGTTCTTTTTTGAACCCTGTTATAGTCTTGGCCTTCACAACATCCTCTGGCAAAGAGTTCCACAGGCTGACTGTATGTTGTGTGAAAAAATACTTCCTTTTGTTTGTTTTAAACCTGCTGCCTATTAATTTCATTTGGTGATCCCTAGTTCGTGTTATGAGAAGGAGTAAATAACACTTTCTTATTTACTTTCTCCACACCTCTCTCTGATTTTATAAACCTCAATCATATCCCTTCCTTAGTCGTCTCTTTTCCAAGCTGAAAATTCCCAGTCTTATTAATGTCTCCTCATATGGCAGCCGTTCCACACCCCTAATAATGTTTTTTGCCCTTTTCTGAACCTTTTCCAATTCTAATACATCTTTTGAGAAGGGGCAACCACATCTGCACACAGTATTCAAGATGTGGGCATACAATGGATTTATATAGCGGCAATATGATCTTTTCTGTCTTATTAACTATCCCTTTCTTAATGATTCCCAACATTCTGTTCGCTTTTTTGACTGCTGCTGCACATTGAGTGGATGTTTTCAGAGAACTATCCACAATGACTCCAAGATCTCTTTCTTGAGTGGTAACAGCTAATTCAGACCTCATTGTTTTATATGTATAGTTGGGATGTTTTCCAGTGTGCATTACTTTGCATTTATCAAGATTATATATGGAGATATACCTATCTCATAGAACTGGAAGGGACCTTGAAAGGTCATTGAGTCCAGTCCCCCCTGCCTTCACTAGCAGGACCAAGTACCAGATCCCTAAATGGCCCCCTCAAGGATTGAACTTATAACCCTGGGTTGAGCAGGCCAATGCTCAAACCACTGAGCTATCCCTCCCCCCTGAACATTGAATTTCATCTGCTATTTTGTTGACTGGTCACTCAGTTTTGTGAGACCTTTTTGTAGCTCTTCGCAGTCTCCTTGGGATTTAACTATCTTGAATAGTTTTGTATCATCTGCAAATTTTGCCACCCCACTGTTTACCCCTTTTCCCAGATCATTTATGAATATCTTGAACAGTACAGACCCCTGGGGGGACACCACTATTTACCTCTCTCCATTCTGAAAACTGACCATTTATTCCTATCCTTTGTTTCCTATCTTTTAACCAGTTACCAATCCATGAGAGGACCTTCCCTCTTATCCCATGACAGCTTATTTTGTGTAAGAGCCTTTGGTGAGGCACCTTGTCCAAGGCTTTCTGAAAATCTAAGTACACTATATCCTCTGGATCCCCCTTGTACACATGCTTGTTGACCCCCTCAAAGAATTCTAGTAGATTGGTGAGGCATGATTTCCCTTTACAAAAACCATGTTGACACTTCCCCAACAAAACATGTTCATCTATATGTCTGACAATTTTGTTCTTCACGTCAGGCTTACCAGCTTGTAATTGCTGGGATCACCTCTGGAGCCCTTTTTAAAAATTGGTGTCACATTAGCTATCCTCCAGTCATTTGGTACAGAAGTTGATTTAAATGATATGTTACAAACTACAGTTAGTAGTTGTGCAATTTCATATTTGAGTTCCTTCAGAACTCTTGGGTGAATACCATCTGGTCCTGGTGACTTAATATTGTTTAGTTTATCAATTTGTTCCAAAACCTCCTCTAATGACACCTCAATCTGAGACAGTTCCTTCAGATTTTTCACCTAAAAAGAATGTCTTAGGTTTGGGAATCTCCCTCACATCCTTAGTCGTGAAGACCAATGCAAAGAAATCATTTAGTTTCTCCGCAATGGCCTTATCGTCCTTGAATGCTCCTTTAGTATCTTGATTGTCCAGTGGCTCCACTGGTTGTTTAGCAGGCTTCCTACTTCTGATGTACTTAAAAAAAAATTTTGCTATCACTTTTTGAGTCTTTGGCTAGCTGTTCTTCAAATTCTTTTTTGGCCTTCCTAATTATATTTTTACATTTCATTTGTCAGAGTTTATGCTCCTTTCTATTTTCCTCACTAGGATTTAAACTTCCATTTTTTAAAGGAATCCTTTTTGCCTCTCACTGCTTCTTTTACTTTGTTGTTTAGCCATGGTGGCACTTTTTTGGTTCTCTTACTATGTTTTTTAATTTGGGGGTACATATTTAAGTTGAGCCTCTATTATGGTTTCTTAAAAAAGTTTCCATGCAGCTTGCAGGGATTTCACTTTTGGCACTGTACCTTTTAATTTCTGTTTTACTAACTTGCTCATTTTTGTGTAGTCCCCCTTTCTGAAATTAAATGCTACAGTGTTGGGTTGCTGTGGTGTTTTCCCCGCCACAGGGATGTTAAATTTAATTATATTATGGTCACTATTACCAAGCAGTCCAGCTAGATTCACCTCTTGGACCAGATCCTGTGCTCCACTTAGGATTAAATCAAGAATTGCCTCTCCTCTTGTGGATTCCAGAACTAGCTTCTCCAAGAAGCAGTCATTTAAGGAGTGAAGAAACTTTATTTTTGCATCCCGTCCTGAGGGGACATGTACCCAGTCAATATGGGGATAGCTGAAATTCCCCATTCCTGATACTTGACCCCATTATTATTGTGTTTTTTATTTGTATAGCCTCTCTAATCTCCCTGAGCATTTCACAGTCACTATCACCATCCTGGTCAGGTCGGTAATAGGTCCCTACTGCTATATTCTTATTATTAGAGCATGGAATCACTATCCATAGAGGTTGTATGGTACAGTTTGGTTCATTTAAGATTTTTACTTCATTTGATTCTAAGCTTTCTTTCACATAGTGCCACTCCCCTACCAGCATGACCTGTTCTGTCCTTCTGATATATTTTGTACCCTGGTATTACTGTGTCCCATTGATTATCCTCATTCCACCAAGTTTCTGTGATGCCTATTATACCAATATCTTCATTTAATATGAGGCACTCAGGTTCACCCATCTTATTATTTAGACTTCTTTAGCATTTGTATAAAAGCTCTTTAAAAACTTGTCACTTTTTAGCTGGCTGACATTACCTGATGTAATTGAATGGGACTCTTTTTCATATGACTGTTTCTCATCAGATCCTACCTGTATTTTATCATCTTCAATCCTCTACTCCTTACTAGGACATAGAGAATCTTCATTAATAGATACTCCCCTAAGGGATGTCTTCCTGAGTAGCCCCACCCCCGGTTAAGGGCTGTTGGGTGCTAAAGAGCTTGGAGATCAAAGCCTCATTAAGAAACTCTCAGCCTTGCCTAGCGCTATAAGTTAACTTATCTACCTATACTAATGAAATTATTTACATACTATATACAAAGTAAAATCACTCTCTTAGTAGACTAAGAGCGTGAAGGAACAGGGCTTCTGACTGAGGCCATGCAGAGGTGAGCGGGAACTGGAGTGGCATCAACCGACACTACTACTTATCCTCGCCTGGGAGCCACAAAGAGACTCACTATGCACGTGTAGGTCAACGGACACTGCTGAGAAACATTTCCGGGTGGCATGCATGCGTACCCACATGTGGAATACACATAGGGACTATCACTCGAAGAAGGTAGGGATACTGCAACTACAATAGGTATCAAAAAATTGTGAAGTCACACAGGAATAAAGGAGAAAACACATTAAACCGTAGGAATTAAAATTTTCCAAATGGAGACTATTTAGTTAAAATGCAACAACCAATCAGTGCTAATGAACAATCCAAAACTTATTTGTTGCTGTTGTTTCACAAAATGGACTTGTTGCATTTGGTAAAATTTGTAAAAAAGCAGCTGGATAGCAATAGAGGCATAAGACAACAAGCTAACAACCACTTTAGTGGATTTATGGTATAATTTGACAATTACCCTTAACAAAATTATTTCAACATGTGGACCCTTTGAGATTAAAAAGAAAATTAAACATAGTGATGCATTTTTAATTAGGAATATTTTAAATGAGAACTCATTTGGAGACATGTCTGGCAATATCTTATGGGAAATATAAAGAATGAATTTATTATTCACTCATGCTAAACATTCCTCTCTAAAATTTGTTAAAAAATTCCATATCATTTCATTATAAAAGAGCTAACCAGGCAGAAAGATGCAACTGCTCTTTATAGAAATGTATTCCCAAAATTACTTACATTTTACTTCCATAACTCAACATTTGAATTTTTTCTTTTCCATCAAATATCAGTAAGCAGTACAATTTCAGTATAATTACAAATCACATGGATGAAATATTAGCATTGTTATCTGTACTGAATGAAATAAATTGTATGTGTTTGTTCAACTTCTCCAGAAGCCAACCTCATTTTCATTGTTTTACACTCAAAATCCTGGCACTTTGGTAAAAAGACAGGACTACTGTTAATTGCATTAGTGATTAACAGAACACTTCTCTACTGGATGAAGAAAATAATTCAAACCAAATCGCCTCAATATACATCTCTAAATATGATGCTTATTTTAAATCCTTCACTAGGGACTACTGCAACAGATTAAAACAGCCTTCAGCCATTCTTGCAGATAACCGAACATGGGCCCACACAATCTTAGCAGCAAAAAATTTGGATAATGAAGCAGTGTCAACTGTGATACTACAGCAGTACCAAGGAGAAAAAAAATGCAGTTTGAGTGCCTTGTTATGTTTAGCAAATCTCCATGGTTAGTCCACTGCTCTTCTAGCAGGCCCCAAAGCTCACAGTGCCAGGAGGTGTGTCCCACAATTGAGTATATATAGAGGCCAATTCAAAGAAGAGCTGTTAATTGTGCATGTACCTCCTGTAGACTTGTTTGAAAATTGTGTCCTATGAGTTTTTACTTACCACCATGGAGGGATACTACTATGTCTATTGATGTACCAGGTTCACAGCTACTATTACTTGGTTTAACTCTATACTTGTCAGGAGCAGTTGTTCTCACCTAAGAATAAAAACAAGCATATGGTGTATGTCAGAATTTAAACAGATTCCGCCTACCAGTTCTGTTACTGCTAATTTACAAAAAAGGAGAAGAGACAGGGTTTGGTGTTCCTAAAATGTTATCAGACCTCTATTATTACCAAAAGATGGAATAATGAAGACAATAGATTTAAAAAACAAAAACACACCCCACACCCCTTTCCTTTTTGGGAGTAGTCTTAGAAGCTAATGCTTCCAATTTCTTCCTCTATCAGTTTTGTCCTTCGCTATTTGGCAAAGACTGGATTTCTTCTTTTTTTATATAAACAACACTAAACAAACAAAAATACTGAACGTAATACTTGTGAAAGTTGCTAGTTTGACAACTTTGAAACCTGAATCATGTATATATGCAGAGAACATGTACAAAGTGGTGGTAAACCAAGTCTATGCACACCTAAATTCATTTAATTTCCTGCATCCCTAAAAATACGGCTACTGAGTTGAACATGAAATAGAGACTGCACTTATTCCTCTGAAGGTGAGCTAATGGGGAATGGATTTTTCAGCAGCTTTGACATAGTTGATCACAAAGTGCTGATGACTTGTTCCTGGAATAAGGGGGAGGGAGGGGAGATCCAGCAATGGCTGGACACTCAAATATGAGTAAGGACACCACCCTTTCATTATTTTTACTGTTAATTATCTCATTTGACCTTTATTCCATGAACGATTTGGGACTTTGCACAAAATCTGCCACAACAAATTTATATTTCTGTACAAATGAAAGGCATGTGGACAGCAAAACAAAACAATGTATAGACACAAATAATATTTACCTTGAAGGCCACTACATTTTTAGTCACATTTGTGAGAACTATCAAGCATTTTTTCTCTCCAATTTCTTTGGATCCAAAAAACAGCTCTTCTGCCGGACTAATTGAAAATAAATTAAAAATTGGATTATACAATTTTCATTGAGCAATCCACTATTTTTAACACAAATAATCTTTCTAAATCATTTATCATAACACAAATTTGAGTTTATTAAAAAAAAGTGCTTTCTATCCACCAGTTACAGTCACCGTAAATTAAGTCTCCACAGGCAAGCTGCCACAATATTCTGCAGCATATTTAAATTTGATAGAATCCAGAGCTGGTAACAGTAAAAGGTGTAAGTGTTTTGTGTGTGCGCGTGCACTAGGAACTAAAGGTTTATCTCTCTCCTTCCCTTGGTACTCTCATGTAATTGGAAAAAAGTTGGTTATGCCTCTTTCAAAATTATATGACACTGGTATCATCATTCTGGAATTTGACATTCTTCTTGAATAGAGAAAGCAGGGCAAATGCATGAGCCAAGTAAGAAAAAGATGAGTAATGGAAGGAAGAGAACTGGCACAAGAAAATATTAGTTAAAAAAAAAAAAAATCATTGAAAGGTGCACATAAAAGTGTTGTTGTATTCCTTTTCCTGACAATTTTTTTCTGAAAAGTGAGGGTCATGTTAAGTAATCATGGTCAGTTCCTTTCTTTCCCCCAATTTCTTAACAGTAATTTAGCTTGTTTTGACCCCTTCTCCCTCAAAGCTACTTTATCCCTCTACCCACCCCTCATACCAGGGGTTGGCAACCTTTGACACGCGGCCCATTAGGGTAATCTGCTGGCAGGCCGCGAGACATTTTGTTTACATTGACCATCCGCAGGCACAGCCCACCACAGCTCCCAGTGGCTGCAGTTCACCGTTCCCGGGCAATGGGAGCTGCAGGAAGTGGCGGCCAGCATGTCCGTTGTCTACATTAGAAAAGTTGCACCAGTTAACTAAATTGATCTAGTTTAATTGGTACAAAACCTTAACATAGACACACGTACACTACTTTAACCCTTGTTTATATTTGGTTTTAACTTAAATCAGAAACTAAAATGGAATCAAATGAAATACGTTTTAAAAATCAACCTGGTTATCTTACTTAAGCTAAGCAATTTTAAGCAAGGGTTAAACTAGTTTAAGTTTATGGAGTTTACATTGGTCTAACTAGATCATTTAAAATTTAGTTAAACTGGTCACTTTGCTAATACAGTTAAGCCATTAGACTGTCAAGTAGTGACAGGCACAGACATGGCACTGAAAAAACAACCAAAAAATAACTTTTGATCTATGTGGAAAAATTAAGGATCACTGAAGGTGTTCATCCACAGAGATAAATATAATATGCTACAGATACTTAAAATTGTTGAATGGAAAACAAACTAGTCTGAGAAGATTTCATATCAGACAAAGTAAGAATTTTTAGAAGACAAAAGATTAATTAAAGATTAGTCAAATCACTTAACTCTTGATTTCAGTTTTTGTGGTTTTAAAACTGATTAATTTAATTTTAAGTGAGCGATATACAATGCAACAAAGCAAACAAAATTACTATTGCACACTATTACCTTATATGTAATAACGGTCCTTTAAAAATGGTTAACGCCTTCTTTGCATTTTTTGTTTTGGAATCTGTTTTGTCATTCTCGTCTGGTTTGGAAATTTGTTCTACAGAACATACCTGAGTAAAAATAAATGAGAATTATAAAGGAATAAAAAGTATGAGTCACACACATTACAATCATGTAGATATTTCTGCATCAAACATAATGGCAAGATGCTCATTCCGCCAAATTTATATGTTATTGAATCTGTTAATCTTTGAATTCCTTGTAATTTCAATGAATGAACCGCGTATGATGGCTCTGAAATATACGCATACAATCAGGCTTCTAACAAATTACATGTTTTATATGATGCCTCATAGCTTGGAGATTTCTTTAAAACTCTGGACATGTAGCTACCCTGAGTTGTTCTAATTTACAAACCACTGGCCTCACTCATCCCTCCAAAGCAAAGCAAAACATTCAAATAAATATTGCAATATAACAATGACTAAATATTATGTTGGACAGATAAAATAAACTAGGATATTGTATTTAATTACATTTCATGGACTTTCTAAACTCATCTTTGTGCATTAGTGTTAAAAATATAAAGCAATCATGAGAATTTTAAAAATGTGATTTGATTAATAAAACTGATGGAAGTATAATGCTGATGTTGCGGAACACTGTAGGCATTGCCCTACAGGTTTTTTTTTATTAATTATATTATATTATATATAAAATAAGGTTTTTGTAAAGTATATTAAAAGTGAAAGAAATCCTAGCAATTATGGGGGTGAAAGGGTGTAAGCACCAAGTAATTTTATCTTAAAATTAGTAAAAAACACAAACCAAATTATCAAAATTGAGACCTGGGAGAAATAAGAATTAAATAGATGGAATTACTACCTAATTGTTTCTCATGCAATTTATTCAGGAAAAAAAAACTTTCAAAAGATGAATAGCAATTATTAATAATTTCATTATACTAAACTTAGAGGGTAGTCCGACTATTTACCACCAAGAGTTCTCTTTCATGAACTAGGGGATGCCATGTAAATCAATAACTAAACTTGATTTTGAAATAAAGAAAAATGTTTCAGAATTACGATGACAAAAAGAAAACCAAAAAATTAATCAGTCAAGAATGAATATGCAAATAAGTTACAACACATAAAAAGAAAAGTAAATAAATGAATGATACAAGGTATTAATGCTTGAAAAGCAACTTTAAGTATGACATTCTAAACTGAAAGAAAATCAAAATAAAATTCTATTACCTATGTCAAAGGAATAGTATCACAGAAGTGAGTATAAGATTCAAACAGCCATGAAAATCAACACTATTTAAATCGATTACTTCTTGGAACACTAAACATATCAAATGGGTATGTTTCCCATTGAGAGAGACTAATGGTTAAGAAACAGCAACAATTCAATAAACATACTTAAGAACATAGTACCTGAAAACCAAATGTAAATTTAATTAAAGTAAAACTAGGTTACAAAACTATGATTCAACTTAATATCAAGAGTCTCAAACTACTGGTAAATAAAAAATGATAAAATAGGATAATACACTTGAAAGTAATCCCAATTTAAACAAGGATAGTTAAACAACTAGTGATTCTTAATTGTGTTTTAAGAAACTACAGTTCTAGGACTAATCATAGATTTTAACAAGGTAAATACAAGGTCACGTGACAATTACAGCTCAACGTTACATATTGTTATATACATATGCCTAGCTGAAGATTACAACGATATGCAAGGTTTCAGAGGGGTAGCCGTGTTAGTCTGTATCAGTAAAAACAATGAGGAGTCCTTGTGGCACCTCAGAAACTAACCAATTTATTTGGGCATAAGCTTTTGTGGGATATAACACACTTTATTAGATGCATGGAGTTGAAAATACAATAAGCAGATATAAATATACAGCACATGAAAAATGGGAGTTGTCTTAGCAAATAGGGGGTCAGTGCTAACGAGGCCAATTCAATTAGATGGATGTAGCCCATTCCCAACAGTTGACGAGAAGGGGTCTTTATTCAGGCCTAATTTGGTGGTGTCAAGTTTGCAAATTAATTCCAGTTCTGCAGTTTCTCATTGAAGTCTGTTTTTGAAGTTTTTTTGTTGAAGAATGGCGACTTTTAAGTCTGTTACTTAGTGTCCAGGGAAACTGAAGTGCTCTCCTACTGGTTTTTGAATGTTACAATTCTTGACTTGACAATTCTTGACACCATCAAATTAGGCCTGAATAGAGACTGGGAGTGGCTGAGTCACTACAAAAAATAATTTTCCCTCTCTTAATACTCACACCTTCTTGTCAACTACTGGGAATGGGCCACATCCACTTTGATTGAATTGGCCTTGTTAGCACTGACCCCCCACTTGGTAAGGCAACTTCCATCTTTTCATGTGCTGTATATTTATACCTGCTTATTGTATTTTCCACTCCATGCATCTGATGAAATGGGTTATATCCCATGAAAGCTTATGCCCAAATAAATCTGTTTGTCTCTAAGGTGCCACAAGGACTCCTAGTTGTTTTAACAATATGAAAGAAGTTGAGGTTCCAGTAACTTCATACATATAACATGATTGTTACAACAGCACAAAGTGGATACTTTTGCCTATTAATGTCACAACACAGAACTAAATGATTAATTTGGTGGCAGGGGCTAAAGCATTTAGGAAGCGTATAAGGTGAAAGCTAAAATTAGAAAAGCAAAAATTTGGTAAGCTTGAGTTAGGTGCAATGAGGTGCCTTTGTCATTCAGTTTATTTGCATGAGGGATTCTCTATATGAAGGTATATTTTGTCACAGACAAAACACACACAAAGTGTAAGCATGGACAAAACATGATAATTTGGGAATCCATCCAACTTTTGAATTCTTTTTTGACATTATGGATTATGAAATGTTCTTATTAAAATTGCTACATCATGAACGCTTCACTTTATGAGGATCCACCACTGCTGTCAGAACATGCACCAGGTGCACTACTGAGGAAAAAAGGAAGGTATTTAAGGCTAATGATGGGGCAAAAGTTATGCAAAAGAGAAACTGCATCCCAAGGGAAAAGCTACTTCCTCCTCCATTTGAGGGGAGGGTTGTGGTGGTGTTTTTTTTTTTTTTTTTTTTTTAAACAGTGGGTCGCTACCAGGAGACAGAACAAAGAAAGCAGCTGAGTAGGAGGGGTTTAAATAAGCAAAACACAAAAGAACAGAAGTCAGATTGGAAAAGGAAGCATTGGGCAGGAGGAGAGAGCAAAGTCACAGAAAATGGGAAGGATTCTCTGAGGGAGAAGCCATCCAACATGTGACTGCCTGCATGAAGCAGCGAAACTGCCTGCTTTACTGGGCAGAGACGGCCCCAAGGAACTCTGACACAAGCCCAAAGAATGTTCTGGAGTGGTGAGGAAATTAAGGGAAAGGCACGTACAGAGTTTTGTTTTGTAGACGTGTACTCTCTTGCCCTTTATATGATTAAGAGCAGTTGCATTGGGCTATAGCTACGCTACAAGCTGGGGTGTGACTCACAGCTCACGTCCGCACTTATGCTAGCTAGTGTGAGTATAAATAGTAGTGTAGCCACAGTAGCATGGGCAGTGACAGTAGCAATACAGCTTAGCCATGCCAAGCTGTACCTCCACTGCCGTGGCTATGCTACTATCTATACTCGCGCTAGTTCATGCGCGCTAGCCTGAGTATACATAGACAAGCTGAGAACCACACCCCTAGCTTGTAGCGTAGACGTAGCTTTAGATACTAGGCAAATTGCCAGTTTGTGCTGAATGCTTACAACTACTATGTTGCCTCTTAAGAGAGTTAAACTAAACCAGATGCTTCACACCTTTGGGGTGGAGTTTTGGGAGCGGGTGTATTTAAGTATGGGAGAGTCCGAAGGGTCAGTGACTTGCCCAGAGGAGGTAGGCAGCTGGGCAGTGGGTTCCAGCTCTGAGAAGGGGATGCTAGATGGAAGGTCTGTGCTCTGAGAGTGTGCCTAGGGACCCCAAAAGTGGGGCAGTGGCTGGACTCCCCCATTTAGGCTCTAGAAGATTGGAATCCAGGGACAGAGTCTTAAACTCCCTTCACTGTAGTCTGCTGGGTGGCCAGCAAGGGCGTGTCTGACCGGATCTACGGCAGAATGGTGGCAGTGCTTGGGATTAGTGTAGTAGTATAAGAAGCTTTTAAAAACACTTTTGCAAGGGACTTCACTTCTGCTGTTAGTCTGAAAGCCAGGAGCAGATCTTTTAATTGCCTTGGGTAAAAGTAGTTGCCAAATATGAATTAGGAACAGCTCAAGAAAGAGCAGATTCTGAGCCTGTGTGCACAGTGAGGTCTGGCTTCTGCTGATCAGAAAAATTGGAATTGGTGGCCACACTGCATACATATATCATGGGATGGATGGGGCAGCTGCTCCAAGCCAGGGGCAAGACTAGATCCCCTTTTTCCCTCCTAGAGGGTAGGCAGGTAACCAAAGAGATGGTGCCACAGACTGTTCCCAAGATGGTCGATAAGATGTAATGGTGATGGCGAGAAGCCCAGAGCTGTGGAGGCTGGAGTGAAGACTGCTTATGAAGGAGAGACAGATGGCGTTGATGGCACTGCTGCACTCCCGTGCCTGGAGGAAGGATGGACACACGCCCAAAGAAGGCTCTGGAGTGGTGAGGAAACTGAGCAAGGAAAGGTGTGTACAGGCTATTATTTTGGGGATCTGTACTCTTGTGTGCTTTATATAATTAAGCAAAAGAGCAGTTGTGTTAGACTTTGGGCAAAGTGTCAGTGTGTGCTGAATGCTTTACTACTACCATGTTGCTTCCAGAAAGTTAAACTGTAAGCCAGATGCTTCAGACCTTTTGGGCGGAGTTCTTGGAGAAAGTGTGTTTACGTATGGGACTGTCTGACGGGTCAGCAATGTGCTCAAAGAGGCTAGGAACCTAAACAGCGGGTGCCAGCATTCAGAAGATGCCAGATAGAAGGTCTGTGCCTGAGTGTGCCTACAGACTTGGAGACTGGCTATATTCCCATTTGAGAAGCTTAAAACACCCAGAGATCCAGGGACACAGAGGTTTTGATTCCTCCACAGCAGTCCAGTGGGCGGCCAGCAAGGGGGCACCTGACCAGATTT